AAAAAAAAAAAAAAAAAAAAAAAAAAAAAAAAAAAAAAAAAAAAAGAAACCTAATTAAACTTAAAGGCTTTTGCATAGCAAAAGAAACCATAGACAAAACAAGAAAACAACCTACTGGATGGTAGAAAACATTTGCAAATGATCTGACTAATAAGGGGTTAATATCCAAAATATATAAACAGCTCATACAACTTAATATGAAAAAAAAAAAAACCCAATTTAAAAAATGGGCAGATGACCTGAATAGACATTTTTCCAAAGACAAACAGATGGCCAATAGGCACATGAAGAGATGCTCAACATTGTTAATCATCATAGAAATGCAAATTAAAACAAGAATGAGATAACACCGCACACCAGTCAGAATGGCTATCATCAAAAAGAACACAAATAACAAATGTTGGTGATGCTGTGGAGAAAAGGGAAGCCTCATACACTGTTGGTGTGAATGTGAATTGGTACAGCCACTGTGGTAGACAGCACTGGAGGTTGCTGAAAAAACTAAAAATAGAGCTGCCATATGACCATGCAATTCCACTCCTGGGTATATATCTCAAAAAATAAAACCAAAAAAACAAAGAAAAAAACGAAAACACTAATTCAAAAAGATACATGCACCCAATGTTCATAGCAACATGCCAAGCTATGGAAGCAATCTAAGTATCCATCTACAGAAGAATGGATAAAGAAGATGTGGTATGTATGTATGCGTGTATATATATCTCAAACAATGGAATACTACTCAGCCATAAAAAAGAATGAAATTTTGCCATTTGCAATAACATTGACGGACTTGGAGGGAATTATGCTAAGTGAAATAAGTCAGAGAAAGACAAATACTGTGTGATATCACTTATATGTGAATCTAAAAAATAAAACAAACTGGTGAATATAACAAAAAAGGAACAGACTCACAGATACAGAGAACAAACTAGTGGTTACCAGTGGGGAGAGGGGAGGGAGAAGAGCATAGGCATAGAGGATTAAGAGGTACAAACTACTATGTATAAAATAAATATGCTGCAAGGATATATTGTACAACTCAGGGAATATAGCCAATATTTTATAATAACTATAAATGGAATATAACCTTTAAAAAATGTGAATTTTATGTAATGTGAAACTTATGTAATGTTGTACATCAACAGTACTCAATAAAATTACCAGAAACTGAAAAATTAGCTCTTAGTTTCCAAAAAAAAAAAAAAAAAAAAGAATATAAATAACACCACAAGTATTTGTTTATGTTGCCAGACTCCAGAGTCACAATTTTAATGTGAACAGCTGACTTAGCCCAGTGGCCTAGTCCTGGGAGTTCCATCTGCCTATAAATAACCTGAGAATCATCCATTAGAAATGATTATAGAAAACTTAAAGTCAGAAGTGATTCTAGTCTCCTCCTAACCCCCCCCTTACCCCCAGTCCCCCTCCCCCACCTTGCCCAGGTGACCCAACAATATGTCATGTTGCAGGTGAGCGTCAAATCCTCTCTCCAGAAGGACCACCTATTAGTGCAGCCTTAGGACCAACTTTAGATGCTTCTAGAAATCTGTTACTTTTATGACTGATATAAGTATTAAAATGGATATGAACTACGGAACGGGTAGATATTTCATTATACTAAGCGTAACAATTAAAAATGAACCTCTAGAAAAGCATGAATTCAGTCTCTCAGCTGCAAAACAGGGAAGGCTGGCAGAATGAACCTTTTGGAGGCTGTGTTAGCAGGGATGGAGCTCAAGGGACACATTGGTGTCCTTGGTGAGGTCACTCAACTCAGAAGGTATTTATTAAGGTTCAGATGTGTTTCCAGACACAAGAGGCCCTGTGAGACCAGTAAAAGTTTTTAAGGAAAAACCCACTGGAAGGCTGGGGCCCAGTCCAAATCCCAGGGGAAAAGACACTGGAATGGCAAAGGAGCCCAGCTGGACAGGGCAGGAAAGGCTCTGTGGGAACATAGGGAGTTACCGGTGCAAAGTGCAGGCAGCAAGCCTCCCTGGGTCTTTTCTGTATGGGTCAGCCCCCCAGCCCATTACTCTCCACTGAAGGCTGCTGCCTTGGAGTCCACCAGTATCCGTTCTGTTAGCTGAGTTTGGTGTCTCTTTTCCATGGGGTCAGTGTTTTCTCAAGTAGTTGGCATCTCCTGGTGGGGCTCATAACTGCACTCAAGACTTCCTCATGGCCTGCCTGCACCCCTGGGCCCAGGGACTGCAGGGAAGGAGGTGGGCTGAGGTGGTGTGTCATCTCGGAGGACTCCCTTCTTTTCAGGGGTGCGCCTTTCCAACCTAAATGTCCCAACTCGTGAGCCCCCCAAGGCTACCCCAAGCCAGCCACAACGACAGCTCCCCAGACCTGCTCTTTGTGCTTGGCCTGAAGCACCAGCACGGGGCTCCACCTCTGTGGAGCTGTCCTCTGTCCTTTGTGCCTTGGGCTGTAGCTTCCTCTTTTAATCCCATCCTTGCCTGCCATCTGGGTTTTGAGGATTTGACATAATTTCTAGATCATTAAGAGCACTCCCTTCTTGGTTTCCTGTGCTCTCGTGATTTAAAAAATGTCTTTTTAAAAAATATTGTTCAGGGCTTCCCTGGTGGCGTAGTGGTTGGGAGTCCGCCTGCCAATGCAGTGGACATGGGTTCGTGCCCTGGTCCAGGAGGATCCCACATGCCGCGGAGAGGCTGGGCCCGTGAGCCTGTGCTCACAGGCTCTCACAACAGTGAGAGGCCCGCGTACTGCAAAAAAAAAAAAAAAAAAAATATATATATATATATATATAGTTTAGGGATTTGTGGGTGGGAGGGAGACATAAGGCATGTGTTCTGGTGGTTATCATAAACAAGTCTCCCAGTAGAACAGTCTAAACTCCCAGTTCACATGAAAGGTGCTCTGCATCACTAATCATCAGGGAAAGGCAAATCAAAACCACAGGAGATATCACCTCACACCTGTCAGAATGGCTATCATCAAAAAGATAGGCAAGGATGTGGAGGAAAGGGAACCCTCGTGCACTATTGGTAGG